GCGGCCCCTGGACCCCGCTTCTGCGCCCCCTCCCCTTCCCCTCCCCCTCACCTTCAACGGGCCTTCATGACAAAAAATAGTATGTGTCATACGGACCGTGACGTCGGTTTGCTGCTAGCTCGTGCTGCTAACTTCACACTCATCGCAAACCTCCGTCTACGGTCCTAATGACACAATATACTATATGTCATTCGGCCAATAGCCTCAGATCGTGAGTCGTGAGCAGTTTGCAGCACTCGGCGTCGGTAGATCTGGGACTCAGCTCCTACTTACCGACGCCTCGTGCTGCAAACTTCACACGACTCACAAACCTCGGCCTATCCGCCTTATGACATAATCTACTATTTTCAATATTTGATTAGAATCGTTGTTTTTTAATATGACATGATAAAGTTGCATAATCTTCAATAGAAATGACTCAAAAAACTAATTGAATTATTTTATTGAATGTTCACAAAACTCTCATAGACTTATAGAGTTTCAATAGGAATTCAGTAATTTTTTTTTTATGAAAGTGCTAGATTTTGCTTGTGACTTTTTTAACTTGACAAAATGCACAAATCGTTTTCTTTTATCAATTTTCTTCTTTGCTGTATATTTGTTTTTCGTCAGTTGGCGAGCCTCGTCTCCGACTTACCGATGCCTCGTGCTGCTAACTTCACAGGACTCATAAACCTCGGCCTTATGACATAATCTACTATTTTGAAATTTTCTCCTAAACTCACTATTTTTAAAGTTACCTCCAACAACTGTCGAAAGATGACGACTTAATATTTCCCATTTGAACAGTTACTTTATTCAATTTTGTAGGAAAAAAAATATCCCCCTTTTTTTCAATACTTATAAGTGTCGCCTCCTTGGAAATAATCCATAGACTCCAGGGAGGAGTCAACTGACGGTCTGGACTTGGGATTTCTGTAAAAATCGTCCAATTTGTATGGCCTGATTGCCCTAGATATCCTAGCCTTTTTGGATTTCTTCAGTGCAGCTTTTCTCCCCTTCTTCCTCCTGCCGTCCTTTCCTTTACCCACACGCGTTGATTTCTTCAGCTTAGCTGGTTTGCTTGTTCTCCTTTGCTCGACAGCAACCTCACTGCCCTCATCATCAGTCAGTAATTTTGGACGATTTCCTCGTTTTTTATCCTCAATATTTTTGTCATCAGTTTGGAGGAAATATCGGCCTCGTTTGCGATCCACTATGCCAAATTCTAGGCCACGTTTCAGCGCTGCTATGACCTAATTGAGTGCAAAATTTCATGTCACATTTGGTCTAATTTAATTAGAATGATATTGGAGATTGGAGTGGTGAGGGAGGATCATTTATTAGAAAGTGTTGGTTAATTGTGTTGAGAATTGATGAGTTTGAGGGGAATTGTCGGAGCACCTTTTTTAGAGGAAAAAATCTTTTATAAAAATTTATGTTGAGGATTTTTTTGGCGGTGCATTAACCACTGGAATGATTATATTAATCAGAATAGTCAAGTGGGAAATTTTGATCAGAGTAATTTTCAGAGGAAAATTGCTTCAAAAAATTCTCTAATTATCTAAAAAATGATCAGTTATAAAAAAAATATCAAAAACACTTTCTTCGTAGGAAAATCTTTGTTATAAAAATGTCTTCTGACAATGAGGTGTTTCATCATTTCTGAAGAAAATTGCTACAATTATCTGGATACTGAGTGGTGCTAGAGAAAATTGTTAAACCACTTTTTTTTCTCCGCTAAAAACATTTTTTACAAAAATCTGACTTGATGATTTTTTAGTCAATTCATTAATTACTGGGATGATTACATTCATAAGAATTTATAAGTTGGAAATTGTCATCATTTCGGTAGAAAATTCCTTCAAAAAGTTCCCTAATTATCTCGATATGAAAATTCCTCTAGAGAATTGTTCAATTATTTGGATACTAAGTGATTTTGGAGAAAATAGTTAAACCACACTTTTTTTCTGTTGAAAATATTTTTTACAAAAAATACCAATTGATAATTTTGTTATCAATTCATTAATTACTGGCATGATTACATTCATAAGAATTGTTGAGTTGGAAATACTAATCATTTCAGTAGAACATTCCTTCAAACAATTCTCCAATTATCTTCAAAATGAGTGATTCCATAGAAAAACGTCGAAAGAAACTTATTTTTGTGAAGAATATTTCTTACACAAAAGTTATTGATGATTTATCAAATTGATTGAAGTTATTTGATAATTTTTCGCTACATCATTAACTAGTGAGGTAATTACATAAACCAAAATTCATAATTTTAGATGTTCCATTATTTCAGGAGGAAACTGCTATAGAAAATTTATTGCTTATTTTAATGATGAGCAGATTTAGAAAAAATAATCGAGCTATATCTCCTTCTAGCTAGAAAAATTTCCTATAAAAATATCTCCCAATATTTTTTCTCAGCTCATTAATTACGAAGATAATTGCCTTAATTAGCATTCATAAGTAGACAAGTTTGATCATTTCGCTGGAATTTTTTTTTCATTTCAGATAACGAGTATTTTTTACAAAAATCGTCAATCAAATTTTTTTTGGTGAAAAAATTTGCTATAAAAATGTCCTTAAATAATTTTGTTTTCAAACCACTAATTAATGACATCAGTTTATTATCACGAAGTCCCCAAATAACGACTCATTAAATTTTTACATTCCATTGCAAAATTTTATCAATCAAATAAAACAAAATGGAAGTTACACCAGCTGGACTGGAAAAACCATTTGAACAGTGCGATAAATAACTCTTCCATAAAGTAAAAAATTTGACGAAAATTAATGTTGAAAAAGGGGAATTCATTCGACTGTAAAAATGAATTTACAAAGAGAAAGCGAATTACAAAATTCACGGGCTTTATTTTTTTACGTTGAACTGTAAATAAAATAAAATATTACCCATAGATGCACTCCAATATTAATATTATGAAGTGAAAAACGTAAGGGATTTCGTTTGGACGGCAAAAATATTTTCATTCATTTCATCAATTAGGGAAATGGAAAATAATAATCATACCTCACGCTTTGGCGCTGGTCTGTCACAGTAATCAGAGATATAACCGACGATATTTCCAACAGTACAGCCGTTTTCATCTCGTAAATTTCGCATTGCTGTCACAACGAGATTGACATTTCTCGCTGAACGAAGAGTTTTCTTTCCATTACGCGGAGTTATTGGCATTTTTAGTGGATTTTGGGGACTTTATTGGGGTGAACTATTTCAGTTACTCGGATGATTTGAATTTTTGGTTTAACTCGGGATTTGAGAAGAAAATTTTCCAATGAGAAGTATCCCTTCAGGGGGTAATGGATCAATTAACAAGTGCCATTCGATGTGAAGTTGATGCAGATTTATATTTTTTTCCGAACAGATGACTAATAGAAATAGAACATCATCAAATATTCAACGAATGAAACTAAATTCAGAAGGAAAAGTAGGAATAAAGGGGACCTTCGGGGCAAGAGGTTGAATGGAATGGTCAAGCGGAAAATCCAAAGAATTGCAGGCGGCTGTATCTTCGATACAGCTGTAATTGTACGTGGATACGTCCATGGTCTTTCCTTCTTTCTCAAATTTTCTGGAAACTCCTTGAACTCTCGAATTTTCTCGAAACTCCTTGAATTTCCTCGAAATTTCAAGAAACATCTCGAATTACCTCGAAAGAGCGATAGAGAAGGCTGAAAAGTAGTTTGGATTTTCTTCTGATAGTTTTGCCTACTTCATTCATTTGACAACTCGAATAACTCTACGCGTTTCTATCGCTAGCATTAATCACTACGATAGTCTCTCCCATTTAACCCTCTGAGCAAAGCGGACCTCATCAAAATAGTCAAACATTCCTAAGGGTCAAATGGAAGAGACGGACAGAGTAATCACAAATGTCAAATAATTAGATAGCCTCTTTTGCTCTCCCGTTTGCCCTTCTGATTACTCTTTCCATCTCTCCCATTTGACCTTTTCCACCAAGTCTCTCCCGTTGGGTCAGCAAGCCAACGTGGACCTGATTCAAAAGGTTTAAACTTCTTAAGGGCCAAACAGGAGAGATGGGCAGAGTTATGAAAAAGATCAAACGAGAGATGCGAATCAGAAAGTTCAAACGCGAGAATAATGGGAGAGTCCTTCTGATTGTTTTCCTCGCTCTCTTCGTTTGACCATTCTGAATGTTTTGCTCACTTCTTCCACCTAATGCTTCTATCCCCTCGTTTCTATTGCTATCACTAATTACTGCCCAGGACTCTCCCGTTCAACCCTCCGGCAATGCGGACCTCATCAAAAGGGTCAAACATTCCGAAGGGTCAAATGGGAGAGATGGACGGAGTTACCAGAAAGGTCAAACAATTAGAAAGCCTCTTTTGCTTTCCCGTTTGCCCTTCTGATTACTCCCTCCATCTCTCCCACTCGACCTTTTCCATCAAGTCTCTTCCGTTGGGTCATCAGGCCAAAGTGGACCTGATTCAAAAGGTTAAAAAATTTTACGGGTCAAACAGGAGAGATGGGCGGAGTTATGAAAAAGATCAAACGAGAGATCAAAGATCAAAAGATCAAAAGGTTCAAACATTCCTAAGGGTCAAGTGGGAGAGATGGACGGAGTAATCGGAAAGATCAAACAATTAGAAAGCCTCTTTTGCTCTCCCGTTTGTCTTTCTGATTACTCCCTCCATCTCTCCCACTCGACCTTTTCCATCAAGTCTCTTCCGTTGGGTCATCAGGCCAAAGTGGACCTGATTCAAAAGGTTAAAAATTTTTACGGGTCAAACAGGAGAGATGGGCGGAGTTATGAAAAAGATCAAACGAGAGATACGAGTGAGGGAGGTCGAACGCGAGAATATTGGGAGCGTCCTTCTGATTGTTTTCCTCGCTTTCTTCGTTTGACCATTCTGATTGTTTTGCTCACTTCTTTCACTTGACGCTTCCATCCCCTCGTTTCTATTGCTATCACTAATTACTACGCAGGACCCTTTCCCCCGCGTGTCCGCTTTGTCCCCATTTTCCCATGAAAAACTAAGAAAAACGAAATTCTGAATTGGTAAAAATCCATGAGAAACGAAATGTGAAGACTGTAGTCTCTCTCATCGGTAATATCTCCGCAAAAATATCAGATTTACCATCTCACGTCCTCACCGAACTCAGCGTCTCGATCCTCGAATGCCACCTAAAGCCTTGATATCAGTAAATTCCAGTCGAATACCCATAGCTTCGAGTATTTCGCTCACGGTTAGAGCACACTCCTGTACCTCGAATATCCACGGGGATTACGTCCGGTTTAGAACGTGATCATGAGACAATGGGGCATTGAGATAATACGAAACTACTGTACCGGCGTCATCCCCTCCCCTGACGATGGCTAGACCATCGTCATGCGTTTTCGATTAGGTGAGAGAAATTTTGGTGTTTGTCAACCCCGAGGGCTGCGCTGGGATCATTATCGCGTCTTGTACTGTCCCTTTCATTATTACTTGTGAATGGGTCGAGATAAATTGAGGGGTTGAGTATTGTGACCTCTCATCATGGTCGTTTGACTTGATGGGGGTTTCGGTGTATTGAATAACAAATTGTTTGCAATGTTTGTTCAAATTGATTAACAATTCTGATTAGCACTATTTGTATTGGTTTATTTTATTGTGGATTACGAACTATGGAATTGAAGCTTATATATTTTTTTGATGAATCTTTTTACTGCATAGATTGTAGGATAATAATAATGCTCTATTCAAGAATACGTGAAACATTTTCGATCAGCAATCTATTTCGCCAAATTTATGCCAAACATGGGAATGTTTCAAGCTCATCTTCGCTTGAAAAATTTACGTCGTAAGTTCTTTTCCGATCTTAATTTTTTTAATATTGTAAATATTATATCTCTGAATTATAAAAACTCAATTCGACTTCTGGTGATAAAAATTGAGTACTCGAAATTAAGACTCCGAAATTAAAGATCACTTTGGTCATGAGAGTCAGAATAAAGGTCATGAGGGTCAAAATAAGGGTCACGAGGGTCAGAACAATGGCTACAAGGGTCAGAATAAGGGTTACGAGGGTCAGATTAAGGGTCGCAAGATTGAAGGGTCATAAGATTAATGGTCACAAGGGTCAAATTGAGGGCCCAAATAGGGAAACAAGGGTTAGATTAAGGATTTAAAAAAGTGTCACAAGGATCAGATTAAAGGTCACACGGGGCAGAGTATGGGTCTGAATAAGGGACATGGGGGTCAAAAACCAAGTTAAAATAAGGGTCATGAGGGTCACAAGGGTCAGAATAAGGATTATGCTGGTCATATGAGGGGTTGGCGAGTGGAATGAGCAGGGGGCGTAGCCCCTTCGTATTATATATATAGTAAAATACAAAAATTAAATTGAAAAGTAAATGAATGAATAAACAATATAATTATAAGAGATTTTTAATCATGTATTTGTCGAAAAACTTTTAAATACATCGCTTGTAAAATCTTGGGAGCATGCAGACTATTGTTTTGAAAAAAAGTCAATTGTTTTTCGTAATTTCATGATGATGGAAAATCGAAATCGATTGCACCGTCATATGCATCTAATTTCAGGAATTTTACTATTTTTATGGACCTGGTGCGTTCACAAAAAAAATCTGCTGAATTTCTATTGAAACTCTATAAGAAATCTATTGGACTTATGTGGAAATTATGTAAAATAATTGTATTTGTTTTTTTTTGCGCCAACTTAATTGAAGATTATCCAACTTTACCATATCATGTTTTTAAGAAAACATAATTTTAAGAGGTGAAACCAAAAATTTGTAAATCATGCAAGCGGGGACAAAATTCTATCAAATCATTTGAAATTGCTTGAACTGAATTATTCCATGAAATCACGGTGTGATCTTTTGAAATGAGCAGTGATAAGCATATCAATCAATCATAATTACCGTTAAATTGTGAAGTTGTCAATTTTTAACATAAATCTTAAAAATTTTAAATATTAAAGTAACTATCAATTTGTACATTTAAATGAATTTGTAAATTTAAATATTCTATCAACTAATAATTTAGGTAGGAAGATTGACGATTATTTGGATAATCGAAAATCAAGTACCTAAAATTAGAATTAGCTTGTTAACTAGAAAATTACATTCCAGTATTATCAAATATTTTATTCACCATCAATCGAAAAATTTAGCTAATAAATTCTATAATATTTTAAATTTGTTAAATATAGTTAAACTTTCAACAATATAAAGAGATAATCCTTTTTCATATTGTCAAAATCTAATATTATTGCCTATCCCTGGAAATGAGTAACAATTTGGTACTGTTAAAAAAAATTGGCTGAATTTACCGAAAAAATTCATTGGAATTTCAAGTTTCTCTGAAAATTTAACTAACCTCCAAGTTTTTTACCACTACGAAGACGGAAATTCCATAATTTACATGAATTTTCATGTGAAAATGAGTGTTCACAGCCAAATCCTCTTGAATTTTCAGTGAATTCTTTCAAAATTTTTGGAATTACAGTAATTTTAACGAAATTCCCTGAAAATTCAAAGAAATCTGGAATTCAAGGGGAAATACTTCTGCATTTTCCTGCTTTTTCATCAATTTTCTCGGAATAATTAAACTGAAATTTACTGTTCTCATGGAATTTTCCATGAAATTATGAATTTTCTATGACTTAATTCCTTGCAATTTCAGTGGAAATGTCAGGGGAGAGTCAGGCAAAATGGGACGTTTCGTAATCTTCTCTAGTTGTCTCTATCGTCACTGATAAATGAAAATATTGACAATTGGAGAAGCTCTCAACTCGTCCCATTTTGCCGGACCCTCTCCTACTTATTAGAAATTTCCAAGACTCTTACCAGAAATTTCTGAGAAAATTTTTTTAAAGTGTGTCACGATATTATAGTTAAGTGGATAAGCCCACGGTTAGGACAGACACAAACGCATCAGTCAAAATATTCCCGGAATAAATCTCTAAAACTCCTTTAAAGTAGCTCTACCCTCACGGTAAATTCAAAGATTATTGAAAACTGCAAAAAAAATTACAGACAATTCGATTCGATTCGGAATTCTATTTTTTTCTCAATTTATGTAATTATCGTTTTGGTTTTTCAAAGAAGAAATGTTTAAAAATCAGGATTTAACCCAGTGTCTTATGCGAAAATCAACATTTCCATTGTAATCAAAGATTAAAATCTGCAGTTTTTTTCATTAGATGTGAAAAAATCAAGAATTTTGTTGACACGTCATAAAAAATAATCCGCCGTTTTGAAAACAAGTTTTATTATTTATTGATAAGAGGGAAATCTTTGAAAAAATATCAAT